ATGCTAAAGGGGGGGTTGGGGGGGGTTGTCAAACGTCCCAGGCTTCCATCGCCACAACCCTGACAGGCCCATATGCCTGTTTTTCCTGAGTGTGCAAGAGCTGGGAGAGCTGGGGGAGGGTGTGTGGTCTCCGTGGAAACAGGCTGCCTTTGCCCATCTACCTAGGTTGCCATCTCCAAAGTCAGTGCCCTTCTCGGTGTGGATCTGTGGGTCGGTGTAGAGGTCGCCCACACCCTGGATGTCCACCACGATCAGCTGGTGGCCGGAACGCTCAAAGGTGAAGTGGCTGAAGGCCTGTGGGGGACAGGAAGGAAGAGGTGACAGGAGACCAGGCTGTGGGCACTGGCCAGCCACCACTCGGAGCGAGACGGGGACGTGGCAGCTCCACCCACGGTGGGGCCTTCTCTGCACAGAGGTGCTGCTTAGAGGACAGCGGAGAAAGGGTCCTGTCTAACTGGGCAGGGGCCTCAGGGGGCTGACAGAGCCGGAGGAGTCAAGGGTGCCCTTGGGAAGCCCCACGGGCTTGAGGGCCGCAGGGGGGAGACCCTCCCCAGAGGGACCCCGCTCCAGGGCCTCACCTGAGGCGTCAGGCGCGCGTCATCACGGACGAAGCCCGAGTTGGAGTTGTACTTGGTGTACTTGCCCTCGATGTAGTGTTCTAGGTGGAAGAGGGGCGAGCCCGGCCTGTCCTTCAGCTCCACCACACACATCTGCACGATGTCCACCTGCGGGGGCGGGGCAGGAGGTCAGGGTCCCGGCGGCAGCTCCTCTGACAAGAGGCCGCCCCCAGCGCTCCGAGGCACAAATGCTGCCTGTCCCCAGAACCCACTGCCCCTTTCCTCTGGGAATGGAAACCCATGCCATGGCCAGAATGTGTTCCCCTCCCAGAATTCATGTTTTAGTCCAGTGGTTCCCAACATGGGGGGGAATTTGAATTTTAAGGGGGCAATTTGAGAATGAGTTATTAAGAGTGAAATTTTGCACTTTTTATGGTTCTAGGGGCCTCGTAAATAGTATATAAATATATATTTTGACACATTTATGATTTCAGTTCTCTATTATAGTTTTGAAACTTTATTTGCAATTTTTT